TAGCAGTAGCAGTAGCAGTAGCAGTAGCAGTAATTAGCAGATGCTAGGTGACGTATCGCTCCATGTTCGTTGCCACAATTAATGTTATTCGCCCGCAGGCGCTCTAGTAACAAGCCTTATCGATAATCTTTTTATGTCTCTCTTTAATCATCTGCCTCAATCGTGGGATCTGTGCTGGCGCAGTCACTCACGCTTTCTTCCTGCATACGAAAATTCCGTATTCCGTAAACCGACGCAGGAAACTTACTGTTAGCAGCTGGGCTTTCTTACATAGAATAATTGCAAGAGACGCGAAAACAAGTCATTGCGTTTTTTACTGAAACGATGTAATCGATAAGAAAGAGCGATGGTCCACATGCGGTTTTTTTGTCCTATGACATGGGGAGGAGGAATTCTATAGATATGAGCGATCAACGGTGTTTCCTGGACTAATCCTTGCTAGGTGCAACGCAGGATATTAGCGGCGATTGCCAGCGTCGCTAGTTCGGGACAATACCTCGCATTTGCTAGTCTGCCCGGCAGACCAGAGTTTTGCTAGACTGAGGCAAATATACGGAGGGGGTTGCATATAAAGACTTTGCGTAGTTCCAGAGAGTAAGTCGGTAGACAGCGTGCTAGGGCAGATCGTAACTGGCATAACTAAAACGGATGCTAGCCTGCGGAGACCAGAGCTTAGATAGCTCACGAATACTCGTGATGGCGCACAGCTCTGATAACACGTGGACGAGTTTAGCAGGTGCTATGTTAATGCGACTCCAGTGGCCAAGTTTTATTCTCGAAATAACGTCAGTCGCGACCCGCGCTGCACGTCGGAATAAATTCGCTGGTAATGTTCATATCTGGCAGAAAGAAAATGAGCCACAACTTGCCGTTCGAGAGCGCCTGTCCGTATCGACTGGGTTTTTGTTGTATTTGCGCCGTGGACGGCGTGAGCCTGTCGCCAAGGTTCCGGACTCTGCGCGCCGCGGCGCGACGCTATAACAAGCGTTTGACCAATTTATACCTCCGGTCGCGGGCGTCGACATTCATTACACGCGGCGCGCGACCTCTCGAGAATTCGCCGTCTAACACAGCACGCGCCCCGCGTCGTGTTGACCGCTAAACACAGCACCCTGCCGTCGTGTCACCGGCTAACACAGCACGCACCCCGGTCTTGTCACGCTTAACACAGCACCCTGCGTCGTGTCACGCTAAACAGCACGCACCCGTCGTTCTCTTTGTCACCGCTTAACACCAGCACCCTGCGTCGGTGTCACGCTATACACAGTCACGCACCTCGCGTCTAGTCATACCGGCTAATCACTAGCACCCTGCGTCTGTGTCACCGATCTAAATACAGCACGCACCCGCCGTCGTGTCCCGATTAACACAGCACGCCCACGCCGCGTCGTGTCCCGCTAACACAGCACGCACCCCCGCGTCGTGCCTCACCGCTTAACACAACGCACGCACCCCGCGTCGTGTCACCGCTAACACAGCAAGCTATCGCTGCGTCGTGTCACCGCTAACACAGCACGCACGCCGCGTTCATGTCACACTAACACAGCGCGCACTCCCTCGCCCGTTCGTGTCACCGCCTATACACAGCACGCCTTACCCGCGTTCGCTGTCACCGCATATACACCTGTCTGAATCTAAGCTGCGCCTACCCTCGGATCGTCGTCGTCACCGCGCCGTAACACAGCACCGCGACTCCGCGTAATCGAGTCCCGCTAATCTACAGCACCTCTCCTGAGGTCGTGTCACCGCTAACACATGCACCTACGCGTTCCGTGTCAGCTCAAACACAGCACCCATGCTGTTCGTCGTCACCGTCTAAACACAGCCACCCCGCGTCGTTTTCACCTCGCTAACACCCAGCACCCAGTTCGTCGCTGTCTCTACGCTCTAACACCCACACACCCGCGTCGCTTGTGTCACCTCCCTAAAACACAGACATCGCACTGCCGCCGCTCTCTCGCGCTGTCGTCCGCTAACCACAGCCTACGCACGCCGCCTGTTCGTGTCACCGCTAGATACAAGCACGCACTCCGTTTTTTCGCTTGTCACCGCTATATCTACAGCAATCGCTTCCTCCTCCGTAACATAGCCAACGCACATCCTTCCCCCTCCTTTCCGTAAACACTTCACCGCCCTTTCGTCTAACATTAACAACAACTTCACCCGCCCTCCGTAACATCCGGCAAACGCTCCCCCTCCTTCTGCTAACATAGCATACGCTTCAACCTTCCCCATTCGCTCTTTCGGTATTCGTATTTAGTCAACTACGCTCCGCTCTTCCTTACACAGTCACACGCTCACCCCCTCCTTCTCCGTGTAATATAGCACACGCTCCCGCTGATCCTCCGGTTAAAACACAGCGCAACGTTCCCCTCCCCCTTTCTTACGTTAACATAGCAACAGCTCACCCGCCTCCTCCCGTAACATAGCAACGCTCCTCGCTCCTCGAATAACACAGCAACGCTCACCTCCCCCTTCTAGCGTTACATCAGCAACACTCATCCGCCCTCCGCTAACATTAGCCATACGCTCCCGCTTCCTCCGTTAAACACAGCCCAACGGCTCACTCCTTTCCCCTCTTCCTATCGTTAACATATCAACACTCCACCTTCCCTCCGTAACATAGCAACGCTCCTCCGCTCTTCCGTAACATCAGCACGCACACCTCCCCTCCTCCGTACATTGCAAACGCTCAACCTCCCCTCCTCGCGCAACATAGCAACGCTTTCCCTCTCCCGCCTCTCTCGTAACACAGCACTCGGCTCCTTCTCACCTCCTCCGTTGTGTCTTTTTCTGTCTTATGCGACTTCTAGTTATCTTAGGTTTCACTTCAGCTTCGATCGTGAAATTCTGGCGTTGCTAATATGTAAAGGCGTCAGGGAAATTGTAGTTTTACGCACTCACACAACGGAACACATACGTATCAAGATCAAGCGCCAGTTTTTCACATCGGTTCCAGCACAACGAGAAACAATGCCAGCTTTATTTGATAAATAGTATAAGACCAACGAAACTCTAACATACTAACTTCTACTTCATCGACTAATCAAATAATTAGACCGATACCTTAACGAAACCACATCTCGTTTTCACACTGTCTGACATTTGTTTAATATACACACTCTTTTGGCCAGTGTCTCACGCATATCGCCCTAAAGATATAATGAGAATTGCAGTGTTTCTTCACGGCCAGAGAAGTCGTTTCCTTACAAGTAATTTTAATTCAAAATAATGATCATAGCGTTATCAGAAATCGACGGCAATTTTACTATAAAAAAGGCAATGTAACAAATAATATTACAATGCTTTTCTAAACAAGTGTATATTATGATCTTTACACTGTCGAAGATGCTCTAACTGCCTATCTATTATTTTATCTGTCATCCGAATTCATCCCGTTACAGAATAGGTCTCTCAGCTTTTTCTCTGAAATGTTGTCTTTTTTTCTATATTGAAATTTCAGCATCATGGAATTTTACTGATCTTCAAGTTTATTGCGATTATCAGACCATGCTCCTGGATAAAATGATCCCTAAACAAAGTCAATTTGCTAAAGCGATACCGCCGCATCAGCTGTAGTTCCCATCCGTGTGTTTTACCCGCTTATGCCTTCTCAGATACATCTCGAGTATTTGCTGAAACGCCAGGAATGTTATTCTTTTACTCACTTATCATGCTTTTCGAATCACGTTAATTTTCATAATTCTGCTTGATTCTGCTTCACGGCTGTTTCCACTATTCATTTATCTAAATAGTAATCTTTCCTTTGTTACTGTGTATTTAGCCTGTTTTTTCACTTTACCTTTTTAGTCACGTGAGGTAGGCAGCTGGAAAGCCTCGACGTGCATACTCATAATTAATCAAGAGCATATAAAGAGAGAGGGTACAACCGGTAAATATGTCTGAATCCTTTGTTGCATAGTATTAGTCGAATTAATAAATCTTTCCCCATTTTAACTTTTGACACATTCTTTGAAGTATTATTTGATCAGCTGTCCTACCCTCGTTCATATAAAACAAACCGCATGTCCCTGCGATGCCCCTGCGCTGCAGTAACTGAGCGGTGAAAATCTTGGTTATTTTTTCGACCGACACACGCTAGACACTTAGTCATGTTACTGCGACGCCCTGTTACACCAATGAAATCGCATATAATTACAACGTTGCGCCTTACGCTAGATTGTTGCCTATCTGCCCCAACTAATCCTCGCTACTATAACGGTGAATACACCTATCTCGTACGTGCGGCCTGTGTTCGCCTAGAAAACACCTAAGTGTAGTCGCGCAGTCTAAATATCGGCGATATAAATTATTTAACACCCACACCGTCAGTATTTACGACCGCCTTATATTTACTCGGTAACTCACAACACCTGTGTGAATTCACGACTACTTTGTTTTTTCCACACCACTATGGGTCACTCATCTCCATGTTTGAAAAGGCCAGTGATACATTATCCTCACCTGTGTATCTATTTACCTCCTTCATTGCGGACAATTTCGTGACATCTCGTCGGTACAGTGAACTCATGTTACATGAACATGACTTCTCGAGTGGCTCTGACGAACATTGGAATCTTAGTGCGCGTGCAAGGGGTTTCGCCACTTTTTCTAAACAATTGCAGTCGGGTTCTGCCGAATACCTCCTCAGCTACCAAAATGCAGCGGGCCACATATTTCAGGCGACGTGAGGAGCGTGCTCCTCTCCGTCGATCCCGCCTTTTGTCATCGTCGTCTGTTCGCCGAGTCGCCTGCGTTATTCGTACGACACATGATCCGATAGATGGGCCGCCAGAACTACCTGCCCAATTATCTGTCCGCGGGTCTAGAGCAATGTAACGTGTGAAGCAGCTGTCCGTGTGCGGCAGATGAGGCGCTGCTGATCTAC